TATAGAGACAAATAAGGTCAAACCAGGTAGGGCATGCCCTACCCTAGTGCTCAGAAAGTTAAGGCAGGAGGAATTTGAGTTCCAGGCCTTTCTGGGTTACATAGTGAGACACTATCAAAAATAAATTAAGGAAATACATAAATCAGTAAATAGGGAAAATTAAACAAACAAAGCAAAAAAGAAGAAGCCCAAGATTTAGATTGGAGCTGGGAAGTGGTTGTGCATGCCTTTAATTCCAGCATTCTGGAGGCAGAGGCAGGCGGATCTCTGAGTTTAAGGCCAGCCTGGTCTACAGAGTGAGTTCCAGGACAGCCAGGGCTACACAGAGAAACCCTGTCTCAAACTCCCAAAAAGACTTAGATTGAAGGATTTTTTCTTTTTCTTTTTAAAGCATGTGATGGTTAGTGTCATTAACTTGAGAAAAATCTAGACTCATGTGGGAGATGGGTCTCTGAGCATGCCTGGTGGGACTGCCATTCTGGGGGAAGACCCTTCACTGTGGGTGGTACCGTTCCCTAACTGAATCCTGGATTAGAGAGTTGAGCACTAGCAGGCAGGACTTCACTGCTCTCTCCTGCCTGCAGATGTCACATGATCTGCTGCTTTCCAGGGCTGCTCCTTTGACTTCCCGAACATGAGGAACTGTGAGCTAAAAGAAAACCCTTTCTTCCTCAAGTTGCTTTGGTCAGAATCTTTTATCACAGCAATGGTGAAAGAAACTGAGATGGGTGGGGTGTGGGGACACAGGCTTTATTCTCAGCCCTCTGGAGGCTGAGGCAGGCAGCTCTGTGACTACAAGGCCAGCCTGCCTGGTCAGCAAAGTAAGTTCCAGGCCACCCAAAACTACATATTAAGACTCTGTGTAAATAATAATAATAATAAAGAAAGAAACAAAGACAAAGTATATGTCTTATGAAATCAGCACACCCCAACTCAAGTTGGATGAAGTGAAGCCAGAGGTCAAGGGTTCTGAGCCTTTGTCCTGTGTATTTAGTATGTGGAGCTGGGGAGAGGAGGTTACTAGAGCTTTATTTGAAAATATGCAAGAACATAAATCACAATCTTCAGGGTCCAGCAAGATGGCTTAGCAGGTAAGGAACTTCCCTGCCAATCATGCCCCCCCCTGGCACTCACCCATACACACAGGGACCCACAAAATAAATATTAAAACTTATCAACATGATAAAGTCCTCTACAAAAATTTGCATTTGAGGGCTGGTAAGAGGAGTCATTGGATAAAGGTGTTTGCTGCCAAGCTTGATGACCTGAGTTTAATCCTCAGGACCCACAAGGTAGAACAAACTCCCACAAGTTACCCTAGGACATGAGATGATTTAATTCCAAGGACATCTGGCACCTTTTTGACCTTGAGGGTCAACTCAGACTGATCTGCGATGTGATAGAACCAGGAGATATAGATTACTTCCTCTTTGTCATGTGCCACTGTCCGGGACATTCTGTGTCATCCTGGACATCCCTGTGTCCCCTTGTTCTCCGAGTTGCCCTCTGGGTTCTCCTCTCTACTGCAGAGCTGTCTAGAGTTACTTTTTACTGCCAGCTTCCCTCTCACAGGCACGCCTCAGTTTACTCACTATAGATATCTGTCTACCTCCCCACTGACACTGGCTTTCTGCAGCCAATGCTCCTAATCCCAAAGAGACTTCAATATGGTGACTTTTATATGAAAGAAGAAGAGTTGTCTTAACAGACTCATGGGGGCCAATTCCTATGGAACTAAGGACTTATTTCTAGATGATTCCACTCTATTCTACCGATATCCATCATTAGGAAATAGGACATCTGGTCTGTGGTCTTACAGAAATAAGTCTATTGCTATCACCATCACTACCACTAATACTGTATTTTTTAAAATACCATCCATTTCTGAACAGACTCTTATATAAACCAGATACATGGGAGGGAGAGGCTGGGTAAACGCTTACTTCAATGAATGGATGGAAGTATGAGAAACAAAACAAGGTAATCAGAGCCAATTAGATGATGCAGGGGAAAGAGAGGAACTAGTTATGCCTGGTTTTCACAAAATCCTGGGTATGGGTGGGGGAAGAGAGTGTAGAAAAAGTCTGACTTCAAAACTCCTTATCCTTGGACATTTCAACCAGGAAGGCTGGGATAAGATTTTTCTGAGCAGATTTCAGCCTGCCCCCAACCCCCAACCCCCAAGGCCTTTTGGTTCCAAATACACTAGGAATCAGTGTTAACTGCTTTTTTGAAATACCGTTTTGTCGGCATCATTTGGATGTGGTAATTTGCAAAGCAATCTCCAGCAGTTGACAGTTCATCCATAGCTGTGTGGTATCCAGACATTTCCTGGGACTTCTGCCCACCTCCTATGCAGCTGGCAGTGTCTGCCAAACCAGGATATGTGCTCAGCTGGGATTAACTTGGAACCAAGTAGCACTTTGTTGTGTCTAAGATTTGTTTAAATTCTGCAAGGGTGAAGGGCAGTCCTACTTAATTCAAATAATAAGAGTGAAATTTAAAAATTAGGACTGAGGAGATAGCTTAGTTGGGTAAAGTGCTTGTAGATCAAGCATGGGGAACTGAACTTGATCTCCAGTAGCCATGTAAAAAAAGTCCAGAGTGGTAGTATGCTTTTTAAATCCCAACCCTGGAGGGGTGGGGACAGGCGGGTCCCTGTGGGTTGCTGGCCAGCTAGCTCACCTGCTTGGTGAGCTCCCAGTCAGTGAGCGAATCTGTCTCAAAAAGACAAAGTGAAGGACACCTGAGTTGACCTCTGGCTCAATATACACGGGCACATTTGTGCACATCCACCCCCTACAAATTAAAAATCAGCAGCGCTTGAAGATCAACTTAGTCCACCAAGGGCTGATATGAATTGCAGCTCTAACAGGTTCAAGGACAAGGTCAGCAGGCTGGTGGCTGGGAGCCCGGGGTCAAGAATCTATATTCTTTGCCTGGTGCCCTCTAGATTGATGCTTGTGGAGCTGTGAGTTTCAGTTACTGGTTGTTTCTTTTTGAAGCTCTTTCCTTTTGGCTAGAGACTTACTCAGCCTCCTTCACACATGCTTCAAGGTCACAGCCTAGACCAAAATGTTTACAGAAAAAGCTAGGCACTTATAAAGAGGACTCTCTGCCAGCTCCTGTACTCCCAGTGCCTGGCTACAAACAAACCCAGCAAACCAAGGAAGGGATAAAGTGGTCTCTGGAACCAGGAATTTCTAGGCTTGAAAGCCAATGGGAGAGCAGATGCATTCTGCCCTATTTCCCCAGCAGCTGACACTGTGGCGGCTGCTGTGCCTGCTGCCACCTCCTGGGAGAAGACAGACCTGAACGGCATACCTGCAACTCATGTCTAGGTTCACCAGTGACTTGGCCACAGGCCCTGCTGGGCAAAGGACTGACAAACATTTGACTTAAGAAACAACCCCAAACTAATTAACTACTTATTCAACAACAACAAGAAAAATTTTTTTATAAACCAGAAAAAAAAAAATTAAATTTTTTTTTTTTTTTTTTTTTTTTTTTTTTTTTGCATTTCTGTTCTTTTTTGACAGCATGCTGCTTAATGAAATGATTTCAGGGTCAGGGAGTGCAGTTGTGGTAGGAAGGGCTTGCCTAGTATGCCCGAGGCACAGAATTCCACCCCCAGCACTGGAAAAAAAATAAGGACTTCATAACTGTGTTAGGTTTTTTGTTTGTTTGTTTGTTTGTTTGTTTATGGGGGGGCAGTTCAAGACAGGGTTTCTCTGTGTAACAGCTCTGGCTATCTTGGAACTCACTTTGCAGATCAGGTTGGCCTTGAACAGAGAGCTGGGATTAAAGGCATGTGCCATTACAGCCTGGCATCATAATTGTTAGTTTTAGGAATATGTCAGAGATCCCTCCTCTTAGCTCTCTGAATGCTGGGTCCTGGAGTGATGGTGAGGATGAAAACACATGGGATTTTTACAATAGAGAGGGTGCATACAGCCTTGGTGGTCCTCGATGTCAAAGCATCTCAGTTCACTGCGGGGCTGCTGTGGGAGCTGAGACAGTAACGGGAGCTCCTAGATTTCAAGAAATGGCCAATGGGGTGAGTCCATGCTTTCAATCTCCCTGGGGACTTTCAAAGGGGGAAAGGGTTTATTTCAGCCCATACTGCAAGGGTACAGTCCATCCTGGCAGAGAAATTGAGGCAACTGGACACACTGGACCCAGAGTCAGAAAGTGAAGGAAAATGGGCATTAGTGCTAAGTTCATTTTATCCACTTCAGAATTCCAACCCAGGGAATGGACTCGCTTACAGCTGAAAAGGGTCTGCTGCAGCTGGAGAGATGACATGGGTCATCGGTTAGGAACACTTGTTTTATTTTTTCATTTTTTACTTTGTGGTTTTTTTTTTTGAGACAGGGTTTCTCTGTGGCTTTGGAGACTGTCCTGGAACTAGCTCTTGTAGACCAGGCTGGTCTTGAACTCACAGAGATTCACGTGCCTCTGCTTTCCAGTAACACTTATTCTTGCAGAGAACCCAGGTTCAGTTCCCAGACTCCGCACTGTGGCTCATAATCATCTGTAAAGTCTGTTCCTGAGGACCTGACCCCTTGTCCTCATAGGCTTATGATCCCTTGTCCCCATTAACTTATGACCCCTTGTCCCCATAGGCTATGACCCCTTGTCCCCATAGGCTATGACACCTTGTCCCCATAGGCTATGACCCCTTTTCCCCATAGGCTATGACACCTTGTCCCCATAGGCTATGACCCCTTGTCCCTATAGGCTTATGACCATCTTATAAAGCAAAGTACATGCATTTCAACACCAAAAGTTCCCATAGCCCAGTGGTTCTCAACCTTCCAAAGGCTGTGACCCTTTAATACAGTTCCTCATGTTGTTATTTTTAATTATTTTTGTTGCTACTTCATAAATGTTATTTTGCTATTGTTATGAATCATAATGTAAATTATATGATTTGTAGGATATCTGATATGTGACCCTGTAAAAGAGTTGTTAGACCCCTTAAAGGGGTCATGACTCACAGGTTGAGAACTGCTGCCATAGCCAATAACAGTTACAAAGTCTCTTAACGCTGAGTTCCTATAAAACAAAAACCAAGTTACATACTTTCAACATAGAATGGCACAGAGTTTCCATTCCAAAAAGAAAGAATAGGGGAACAGGAATGATTGGATCAAAGCGAGACCAAAATCCAGTAGGGCAAACACTTTGTGTACAGCATCAGAGACTTGTAATATAATCATCTAGGCTCCAAATGGCCTGGATGGCCCCACTCCAGCTCTGCTGCTTGTAACACACATAGCCTCTCTCCTAGGCTGGCTCCACTCATGCTGTCAGTTCTCCTTGGCAGACATCCCATGGTCTTAGCATCTCTAATGCCCCATGGTCACCAGAACAAGCTGGGTGTTACCTTTGCAGCTTCATGCTTTCAGGGCCTTCAGCCTTTCAGAGCCTCCTTGTAGGGACTCTGACTCTGTTCCTTATTTCCTGGCCTCAGTGGCTGTTTGATATTACAGATTAGGACTCCATGACTGCTTCTAAGTTTCAATTTTATTTATTTATTTATTTATTTATTTATTTATTTAGGTTTTTCGAGACAGAGTTTCTATGTATAGCTTTGGAGCCTGTCTTGACACTCGCTCTGGAGACCAGGCTGGCCTCGAACTCACAGAGACCCGCCTGCCTCTGCCTCCCAAGTGCTGGGACTAAAGGCGTGCGCCACCAATGCCTGGCTAAGTTTTCATTTTTAATAACTTCAAAACCAGTGCCATGTGGATGATGATGCCAAATTCGGTTGCCAGATCATGATGCTGACTGGCCCCCTTGTAACATGACCATAGCAATATCCATATCCTGTCTGGGCTGACCTTGGTGAAACATTTCCTTAGGTGATGTGTTTGGGCAGAGCACACCTTAAGTTTGGTCTCTCCTTTCAAACAAACTTAGACCCTCGTGATATGAAGCCTCTGATGGGTGAGATCTCGCTCTCAAGGTCCCTTTACCATTTCCCCAGGGCAGTGTCGATGTTTCTCTTCAGTGGTGCCATTCTACTTAATAATAACAGTTGTTTCCTCCTCACTAGCCTGAATGCTCTCCTACCTGAAAGTTTCCTCTGCTATCCTATTAGCTTTAAATCCAACTTCATTTAAGTTCTCAGGATACAGATAAAATGAAGCCAGATTCTTAGCCAAAATACTACATGGATGGTCCATACATAGCCCAGTTCCTGGGAGAGTCTTTGTTTCCCTCTGATAACGCATGAGCATGGCCTCCACTGCCTGTATTTTTTTTTTTTTCAGCACTCTTGTATTTCTAAGCCCCTATCAGAACAACCCTCTAACCTCTGTTTCCAGCCTTCCAGGGCTTTTCTAGTCCCAAGTGCCAAACTATTCCACATTCCTCCCATACACCAATTCCAAAGGCCTAAGAGTCGTGTGGTCAGGTTTATCATAGCAATGGCCCTACTCCTGGTACCAATTTTCTATCTTAGTTTCTTTTCCTATTTCCATGATAAAATACCCTGACAAAGCAACTTGGGGGAAGAAAGGACTTACTTAGGCTCAAAGTGCATGTGTACATAAGACAACATGATCTTGGGGTAGCTGGTCACATTGCATCCAGTCAAAAAGCAGAGAACTACAAATGCCAGCCCCCTGCCTGCTTTATTCATTGTATACAGTTTAGAATCCCCCACCTAGGGAATAGTCTTCCCACATCGATAAACCTAATCAAAATAATTTCTCATAGACATTCTCAGAAGCTAACCTCAATCTAGACTGTAACTCACAAGTGCACCTGGAGGCTTGTCTCCTAGTGACTCTGGATCTTGCCAACAGACAACATCAGGCTGACCAAAATTTGAGCGGACAACCTTATGCCTTTAATTCTATTCAGTTTTGAATTTTATAGAGACATAACTATATATTGTCAAGAAGAAATTCAGAAGAAACCAAGAGACATGTTTCTTGAGTAGCTAGCATATGCTTATCATAGAGAATTTAAAGAATAATATCATAAGTAGACATATATATCACATTTGTCATGAAATGCATAGGAAAAACAGGAATTGGGTTCTAGATGCCCATCTGCAAATAGCTCAGTTGTATAAATGTCTTAGGTGCCATAGCAGCTAACAAACTTGGACATTCATGTTCTCATCTATTGAATAATACTGTAAAAGGGCATTTTTTAAATTTACATCAGAGCTTGCTTAGAAGACAGCAAATTGAATAATTTGTCATGTGTCACCTGTTCTAAACATCAAAATCTGTTAGAGACCATGAACTTTGAGAGGTCCTGGTAAGCTAAAGGAAGAATGTCATAGGCCTTTATGTCAAGATTGTTTTCCTTAACTAATGAATTATTGTGTTGTGGGATATTTGTTCACTGTATGAAGATGTGTCACTGTGATTGGTTTAATAAAGAGTTGAATGGTTAATAGCTAAGCAGGAAAAGGTTAGGTGGGACTTCCAGGGACAGAGAGGACTATGGAAAAAGAGTCTCCAGCCAGACACAGAGAGGAAACCAGAAGGGCAAGATGAAGAGTGGTAATGCCACTTGGCAGAATTTAGATTAATGTAAATGGTTAAATAAGTTACAAGAGTTAGTTGAGACAAGTCTAAGCCAAAGGCCAAGCTTTCATAATTAATAAGAAGTCTCTGTGCTGTTATTTGGGAGTTGGCAGTACAGAGAAAGGTTTACTACATTCTTTGTCTTACTTTAATCAACCATGTAGAGCAATGAGTATCAGTCTATTATTTTAAGTACATTTTAGTCCTTTGCTATCATTTGCTATGGTTTGAATGTCATATCCCCTCCAACATTCCTGTTGAAACTTAACCCCCAATTAAGAGATGGGGCATTTAGGAGATCGGTGAGTGTAGAGGGCTTCACTTTGAAAAAATGGGATCGGTACACTGATAAAAAGGTGGGAGGGAACCAGCCAGGCTCCCTTCTCCTCCTCTTCCACTATGTCTGACATACTTCTCCCCTCCAGAGGACATAAGCCATTTCAGAAGCAGAAAGACAGGACCTCAGTAGACATTCAACCTGCTGACCTCTTGATTTTGAACTGCCAGCTTCTGAAACTGTGAGAAATAAATTTCTTTTTTTTTTTTTAATACATTACCCTGTCTCGAGTATTTTGTCATGGTAGAGTATAATTTACCAAGCATAACTATGAAACCTCTTCCTTAACAGTAAGCAAATGCCTTTTGCCCTCAGCCAAGTGGTATATTCCTTTACAGGAAAACAGGCCCGGCTGAGTTTGTTTTGCTTTGCCTGTCTTGTGGCCTTTATTACTACTAGCTACATTTGATATTTGAGTAGTACCTCATAGTTTATTAAAATGATTCCCAATTACCCATTCATTTGGGAAGAATTGTGATACAATCAAACAGGGTGGGCTTTTGAACCAAAGAGAGTCTGCAGGTATCACCCAGCAGCTGGACCTCCTGGGATAAAGCATTTCACCAGTCAATGGTCCATGCTTTGCCTGGACTTTTTGTTTGTTTGTTTTTTGTTTTTCCAGACAGGGTGTCTATATATAACAGCTCTAGCTGTCCTGGAACTTGATCTGTAGACCAGGCTGGCCTCAAACTTACAGAGGTCATCAGCCTGCCTCTGCCTTTCCAGTCCTGGAATTAAAGGTGTGTGCCACCACCACCTGGCTTAACCCAGCTTTTTATAGTGGTTGGCTCAAATATTATCTTCTTGGGGAGTCTGGCCAATCTAAGAATTACTCTGTATTGGTCTCTTTTTAACATGTAGCAGACTAAAATTACCTAGATGACTTACATGCATTGGCCAAACAGAATGGGGCCTTGACTGGCTCCTCTGTGCACCATTGTCTCCCTAGCATGTGGGACAGCCTGGGGCATCATAGTTTCCCTCGATAAGTCCTTCTTGCAGTGAGAGACAGTGGTTAGCAAAATCCCAAACATAATCAACTGCCCCCAGTGAGAAGTATCTGAGAAGCACACTGCAGAGGCCTCTGGGGGGGTAAGAGGACTGGGTCACTAGCATTGTGTGTTACCACAGCACTGATGCTCTCTGAAAACTGATGCTCCACGATGGTGTAATAGGCCCCATCTGTGAAGTACAATGGTACAGGATGACTGTGTGGCTACTGTCAGTTGCCAGGCCTTGCATATGCATCTGTGCAAACAACCCCATCACCTAAAGTCATACTCCAAAGGCAGAAGAAAGTAAAGATGGAGCCCTAGAAGTCTAGTGTTAGGAATTTTCTGCAGATTCCAATTTTATTTGAACATTTCTACAAATTTTGGGGTGAGTAGCAATACATCTGTTTGTATTTCTATTAACACAGAGATACTTTAAATTTTTCACCATTTGTGTTATAGGAAAAACCAAGCTCTCCTAGGTCTTAATACTGTGCTTGGCAATCATACCTAAGGGACACATGTTTGCAGTGTTTTGACATTCTTTTTCCTTTGCAGGACATTTGCCTCTAATTGACACTGTCTTTTAGCACTATTGATTCATTCTTCAATAAGTACTTACTGAGCATCTACTAGGTATTAGACTACAATATGTGGGGACTACAATATATAGCTACAACTGTAAACCGAGTATGCATGGCTCCTGCCACAGTGGGAGTTATCATTAACAGGACAGAGAAATACAAAAGAAACAGAAGCATACTGGGATGAGTGGTAAGCTAAGGAGAGGGAACTCAGGGTGTTAAGGGAAATGTAGAAAATGTCAAGTAATCTTAAAATAGGTGATGAGGAAAGATTTTCCAAGATAAAATGATCTGAAGAACAAGAAGAGTTAGCCAGGTAAAATACAGGGTAGGGAGATATTCCAGGCCAGGAACAGACTACATCTTAGAGATGGAGAGCATGCACACCATAGAAGTAGTTATTTGGGATGCTTGTCTAGTGTGGCCAGAATAGATTGCTCAGGAGGGACGGGGGTAAAGGAGAGCAGAAAAAGGAGAGAGCCTGAGTAATGCTGGAGGGATAATGAGGGGCCCCTGGTTAAGACATTTATAGTAGAAGAGTATGGAAAGCCACAGAAGAGCTGGCATTGCCATCCAAGTACTTAAAAGAAGCAGAGGCAAGAGTTACTCTGCAGACTCCCTGCCAGTCAGGTCTCCAGAGTAAGATTCTATTGTGAAAATGACAACAATCACAACAACTTCCCTTCCCTGCCCAAAAAAAAAAAAAAAAAAAAAAAAAAAAAAAAAAAAAAAAAAAAATTAGAAAGAGTTGGTTTAGCTGCTTGGGGGGTGGGGCCGGGGTGGAGGGAAGGCAGCCCATGGAGCCTCAAAACGACATGAAGAACTTTACAGGTAGCTGAATAAGCTGGAAGCTGGAGAGCTGGTCCTCCCTAGAGAAATGGTCAGCTCTGAGAATATGCATATAGGTAACATTATACGAACCCATCAGGTTATAATTGGGAGTAAATGTTTATATACAGGTCCACAGATGCCTTTAATAACAATTAATGAAAAAAGAGGCCATGCATTGAAGGAGAGCAGGGGTGGTTAGATGGGAAGCTTGAAGGGGGGAAAGAGAAGAGAGAGATGTAATTAAATTACAAATTACAAGCTCAATAACATGAATGGGTTTATACCTGTTTTTCACAAAGTTTGATCAGGAACTACACAATTCTGTGCCTGGAGAATTAAAAAAAAAAAGACTCATTAAGATTTCGGTAAGAGGAGAAATTAGCAAATTGTGGGGCCCTCAAATTAACTGGAGTGAGTCCCAGTCTCACCTTCCCTTTTAGAGACAACCTTTCCCCCCAAGATAATCTCTCTGTAGCTAACTTCCTCATCGAAGGCCGTTCTCTAACTCAAGACACTGGTTTAGAGCATTGCCCTGTGATTGTACCCTTCCCCAACCAAGTCTCACACTTAAAGCACAAGGAATCTTTAAGCCTGATTGTACTTGGGGCCTTGCTGACGTTTCTAATGGCATCCTATTAGAGGCCACTACAAAAATTCCCCCAGTGGAAATGAATCCAGCAAGGAATTGGAGAGAGCTGATGGGCAGGTTAATGATCATAATCAAGGAGAGAATAACGATTGGTTCACCTGGTCATTCATTGAGAAGCTCTTTGCTTGAGTTTCTTCATCCTCTGCTTGACAAAATGACCCTATCCAAGCTTTCAGGAACCCAAAGTCTTGGGCAAGGAGTGAACCCAAGATTTGGTAATGTCAATGGCTAGGCCAGAAAATAAATATTTTTAACCCTGACAAACAGGTACTAGACGGGAACATTATCTTAATTTTGACACATATTTAGACCAGGTAGGTGTTCCTTTTGTGATAAGAAGCTGGGACGATGCCCTTCTGGTTGTATTGTGTTAGGGGAGGCCGGGGCAGCGGGTATGCTCACCATTCCTTCTGAAGAGGACGTGGTCTTTTCGCTTTCCCAATGTTTGGGCTACATTTATGGTAAAATCAAAAGGAAGATGAAACAAATGATGGCACACAGCTTCCATACACTATGGACGTGTTCCTGGTAGGTGGGTTAATGTCATTTCTGAAAAGGAAGCCATAAGAATATTACTAGTAGGTGAGGGCTCACAAGAAATGCTTGCAGTGGAGGACTTCAGAGACTGAACACACACTAGCTTTTCCTCTTCTCGCCTCCACCTGACCCTGGAACACGGTGGTGACAAGGGCATTTTCTTTTTTTTTTTTAACCTCAGGACAAGTCCAGAGACAAAGGCCATACGTTATTATTGCACTTCAATTCTCCTCAAAGGGTTTACAAACAGGCTAGGGCGGTGGGTTCCAAAGTCGGAAAGGTATCGCCTTTCCAAAGCGGATCTCATTTTCCCTTCCTGGTTTATGACTAAGATTCTTTTTTTTTTTTTTTTTTCCACCCCCAAATGTTCTTGGCGTTGTCTTTACCTGCGTTTGGAAGAAAAGTCCTCGGCGCCACTC